CAGATCTAGTCTGTCTGCGTGTGTGTCTGCGTGTGAGAGGGATGGAGGTAGTCTCTCTGCGTGTGTGTCTGTGTGAGAGAGGGATGGAGGTCTTCTCGCTGCGTGTGTGTCTGTGAGGGAGCGGGATGGAGGTAGTCTCTGCGTGTGTGACTGTGAGAGAGCGGGATGGAGGTAGTCTCTTTGCGTGTGTGTCTGTGTGAGTGATGGATGGAGGGAGTCTCTGCGTGTGTGAGAGAGGGATGGAGGTAGACTCTCTGCGTGTGTGTCTGTGAGAGAGATGGATGGAGCCAGTGACTCTGCGTGTGTGCCTGTCTGTCTCTGTGAGAGAGGGATGCAGGTAGTCTCTCTGCGTGTGTGTCTCTGTGAGATTGAGGGATGGAGGTAGTCTCTTTGCGTGTGTGCGCGCCTGTGTCTGTGTGATAGTGAGTGATGGAGGTAGTCTCTCTGCGTGTGTGTCTATGTGAGAGAGAGGGATGGATTTAGTCCCTCTGCGTGTCTGTCTGTGTGCGAGAGAGGGATAGAGATAGTCTCTCTGCGTGTGTGTCTGTGTGAGAGAGAAGGATGTGGGTCGTCTGTGTGTGTGCCTGTGTGTCTGTGTGAGAGAGAGATGGAGGTAGTCTCTCTGCGTGTGTGTCCGTGTGTGAGAGGAATGGAGGTAGTCTCTTTGCATGTGTGTCCGTGTGTGAGAGGGATGGAGGTAGTCTCTGTGTGTATGTGTCTTTGTGAGAGGGAGCAATGCAGGTAGTCTCTCTTCATGTGTGTCTGTGTGAGAGAGGGAGGGATGGAGGTCGTCTCTCTGCGTGTATGTCCGTGTGTGTGGGATGGAGGTAGTCTCTCTGTGTGTGTGTGTGTGTCTGTGTGAGAGAGAGGGATGGAGATAGTCTCTCTGCATGTGTGTATGCGTGTGAGCGAGGGATAGAGGTAGTCTCTCTATATGTGTCTGTGTGAGAGAGGATGGAGATATATTTGTGTGTGTGTCTGTGTGAGAATGATCGAGGTAGTCTCTCTCTCTCTGTGTGTGTGTGTGTGTGTGTGTGTGTGTGTCTGTATGAGAGAGGGATGTAGGTCACCTCCCTGCGTGTGTGTCTGTGAGAGATTTGGGTGGAGGCAGTGTCTCTGCATGTGTGCCTGTGTGTCTGTGTGAGAGGGGGATGGAGGTAGTCTCTCTGTGTGTGTGCCTGTGTGAAAGATAGGGATGGAGGTCGTCTGTCTGCATGTCTGTCTTTGTGAGAGAGAGGAATGCAGGTAGTCTGTCTGCGTGTGTGTCTGTGTGAGAGTTGGGTGGAGGCAGTCTCTCTGCGTGTGTGCCTGTGTGTCTGTGTGAGAGAGGGATGGAAGTAGTCTCTTTGCGTGTGTGTCTGTGTGAAAAGTAGGGATGGAGGTAGTCTCTCGTGCATGTCTTTGTGAGAGCAAGGAATGCTGGTAGTCTCTGTGCGTGTGTGTCTTTGTGAGAGAGAGAGGGATGCAGGTTGTCTGTCTGCGTGTGTGTCTGTGTGAGAGAGACGGATGGAGGGAGTCTCTGCGTGTGTGAGAGAGATGGATGGAGCCAGTGTCTCTGCGTGTGTGCCTGTCTGTCTCTGTGAGAGAGGGATGCAGGTAGTCTTCTCTGCGTGTGTGTCTCTGTGAGATTGAGGGATGGAGCTAGTCTCTCTGCGTGTGTGTCTGGGAGAGAGATGGTTGGAGGCAGTCTCTCTGCATGTCTGTCTTTGTGGGAGAGAGGAATGCAGGTAGTCTCTGTGTGTGTGTCTGTGTGAAACAGGGATGCAGGTAGTCTCTCTGCGTGTGTGTTCGGGTGTGAGAGGGAGGTATGGAGGTAGTCTCTCTGCGTGTGTGTCTGTATGTGAGAGGCGTGGAGGTAGTCTCTCTGTGTGTGTCTGAGACAGATCGAGGTAGTCTGTGTGTGTGTGTGTCTGTGTGAGAGAGAGGGATGGAGATAGACTCTGCGCATGTATGTGTGAGACAGGGATGGTGGTAGACTTTCTGTGCATGTGTCTGTGTGAGCGAGAGGGATAGAGGTAGTCTCTATGCGTGTATGCCTGTGTGTCTTTGTTAGAGAGGGATGGAGGTATTCTCTCTGCGTGCATGTCAGTGAGAGAGAGAGGGATGGAGGAAGTCTCTCTCCATGTGTGTCTGTGTGAGAGAGAGTTGGAGGTAGTCTCTGTGTGCGTGTGTCTGAGAGAGGGATGGAGATAGCCTCTCTGCGTGTGTGTCTGTATGTCTTTGTGTGAGATGGATGGAGGTAGTCTTCCTGTTTGTGAGAAAGGGGGATAGAGGTCGTCTCTGTGTGTGCGTGTCTGTGTGAGAAAGGGATAGAGGTAGATATCTCTCTGTCTTTCTCTCCTCTCTCTCTTCTCTTGCTCTTCTCTCTCTCTTCTCTCTCCTCTCTCTCTGCTTTCTACTCTTCTCTCTCTCTACTCTTCTCTCTCTCTCTTCTCTCTTGTCTCTCTACTCTTGTCTCGCTCTACTCTTGTCTTGCTTTCTCTCTCTCTTCTGTGTCTCTATCTCATCTGTCTCTCTATCTCTTCTCTCTGTCTGTCTCTGTCTCTCTCTCCTCTCTGTCTTCTGTTTTCGCTCTCTTCTCTCTCTCTGTTCCCTCTCCCACTCTGTTGTCTCTTCCACTCTCTTTTGTAGCTCTCACTCTCTGTTCTCTCTCTCTCTTGCCTCTCCCTCTTGCTTCTCTCTTGCTCTCGCTCTCGCACTCTCGTCTGTCTTCTCTCTCGTCTGTCTTCTCTCTCATCTGTCTTTTCTCTCGTCTGTCCTCTCTGGTCTGTCGTCTCTCTCTCTCTCTACTCTTCTCTCTATTTACTCTTCTCTCTCTCTCTCTTCTCTCTCTTCTCTTCTTTCTCTCTCTTCTCTTTTCTCCTCTACCTTCCCTCTCTCTCTCTGTTCTCTCTCATCCCTGTCTCTGTGTCTGCCTCTCTCCCCTCTCTCTCCCCTCTCTCTCTCCCCTCTCTCTCTCCCCTCTCTCTCTCCCCTCTGTCTCTCGCCTCTCTCTCTCTTCTTGATTTTTCCACTCTTCTCGGCTTTTCCTCTCTTCTCGGTTTTTCCTCTCTTCTGTCTTCTCTCTCCTCTGTCTTCTCTCTCCTCTGTCTTCTCTCTCCTCTGACTTCTCTCTCTCGACTCTTCTCTCTCTTGACTCTTCTCTGTTTCTTTACTCTCTGTTCCTTCTCTTTCTCTGTTCCTTCTCTCTCTGTTCCTTCTCTCTCTCTGATCCCTCTCCCTCTGATCTCTCTCTCTGTTGCCTCTCTCTCTGTTGCCTCTCTGTCTGTTCCCCCTCTTTCTCTTCTCTCTCGTTTCTCTCTCTTGCTTCTCTCTTTGCTTCTCTCCCTCTCTCTGTTCTCTCTCTCTCCCTTCTCTCCCCTCTCCCTTCTCTCCCCTCTGTCTTCTCTCCCCTCTGTCTTCTCTCCCCTCTGTCTTGTCTCCCCTCTGTCTTCTCTCTCTCGACTCTTCTCTCTCTCGACTCTTCTCTCTCTTGACTCTTTTCTCTCCCTCTTGACTCTTTTCTCTCTCTCTCGACTCTTGTCTCTCTTTCGACTCTTGTCTCTCTCTCGACTCTTGTCTCTCTCTATCTCTCTCTTCTCTCCTCTCTTTTCTCTTCTCTTCTCTCTCCTCTTCTCTTCTCTTTCCTCTTCTCTTCTCTTTCCTCTTCTCTTCTCACTCTTCTTCTCTCTCTCTTATCTTCATGTCTCTCTTATCGTCCTCTCTCTCTTATCTTCCTCTCTCTCTTATCTTTCTCTCTCTCTTCTCTTCCCTCTCCTCTTCTCTTCTCTCTCTCTCTTCTCTTCTTTCTCTCTTTCGCTCTTCTGTCCTCTCTCTTCTCTCTCTCTCTGCTTTCTCTCTTCTCTGTCTCTGTCTGTCTTTTCTGGCTCTGTCTGTCTCTCTCCCCTCGCTTTTCTCTCTCTCTTCTCTCTTCTTACCCTTCCCTCACTGTCTTCTCTCTCTCTTTTCTCTGTCTTTCTCTCTTTTCTCTCTCTCTCTTTTGTCTCTCTCTCTCCTCTATCCTCTACTCTTCTCTCTGTCTTCTCTTCTCTCTCTGTCTTCTCTTCTCTCTCTTTCTTCTCCTCTCACTTCTCTCTCTCTCTCACTTCTCTGTCCCTCTCTCACTTCTCTCACTCTCTCTCTCCTCTCCCTTCTCTCCTGTGTTCTTTGTCTTCTCTCCCTCCCTTCTGTCTTCTCTCTCTTCTGTCTTCTCTCTCTTCTGTCTTCTCTC